CACATTCACAGTTTCTTATAGCACAGTAATATTATATTGCATTCATATACCAAAATTTTCTTATCCATTCTCCAGTTGACAGACATCTACTTTGTTTCTAATGACTTGATCCTGAAAAAGAAAGTGCTTCTATTAATATGTTGGTATATATGGAGCCTTTCTTTTTATCAGAGTCTTCCTTAGGGCTTGTGCCTGGCTATGGAATCTCTAGGTCAAAAGTTATGGACATTTTTTGCCACTTTATTTACATAATTCTAGATAATTATCTCCATTAAAGCTCCATCAATAATGCTTCAGGGCTCCTATCTTTCCATAATACCTTCAACATTGACTTTTTCCAGTTTTTGTTATCTTTTCCGTTTTGATGAGTATAAGATAAATCCTCAGGGTTCTTATTTGCATTTTTTTATCTTTGGTGATTTAGACTAGGAATAGGGTGGGGTTTTTTTTAAGTGCTAGCACACTTGAATCCCCAACCGGTGTGATCCTTCCATTGATTTTCTTACCTTTCCTCAGTATGTGGAGTTTGTACTCTCCTTTTAATACAGACACTGTGTTAACTGTGTCCAAGGATGTTGCCAGGACTAGGAGGCCAATAATAAATCAAAAATCCCTGACTCTCTAAAGTTTACAAAGTCTTCTTCTGGTCACAGGTGGGGAAGGAAGGAGGCTCACTGGTCTCCTCTTCCAAAAGTGACTCCTTCTCAGGGACTTGGCTGGGACTCTTTCCACCACTGACTAGGAAGACTCTGGAATCCTCTATTCCAAACTAGTTTGCCAGTTTTATACAAGCCGTCAATTCTCCTTAACCAGTCCTGATATACTTTCTGTGCAGTATCACCCCATTTCACCCAATCAATTTGAAGGACTTTCCCTATCTAGTATAATGCCTTAGTTTGATTAAATAATGGAGATGCCTGTCTTGTTCACAACTGGTTCATATCTCTGATTGATTCTATCAAATATGTCCATAAAAACATTAGGAGATGACATCTTATTAGTTGCTTAATTTGGAATGGGAAGGATTCATTTGATTGTTTCAGTTGGCCTTCCCAGCCTTACACATAGACTCAGAGATTTTGGCATGCTGTCATCATGTAGTTGATTGCATATAGGATAAAGTCAAAAGGGAATTAGAACAAACACTTCTATGTGAAAATAGTTGCCACCAACCACCCCACCCCCCAGCTATTATTCTGAATCATTCCTAGATCTTAGGGTATGGAAGGAGACATCCTGATCTCATAGGGCTGAAGCTAATAAAAGAATAGGTAGACTCCCCACCTCACTCCCATGGACTAAAGAGAGAAATCAGTTTCCCCATGCTTATCAGTGAAAAGGGACTCTAGAATGTTGTATTAGTCACCAACCCTGGATTTCTTTTGTCTTTGTGGTGCAGTTATTACTCTCTTCTCTAGGATCCCTAGTCACAATTCCTGCTTATGGCGCCAGTAGCTTGACTGATTCTGGCCAATAAAGTCATGGTGTTTGCACCAGTGCATGAATTCCCTGGTCACTCTAACTTCTCTCTCTCTTTCTGTCTGTCTGTCTGTCTGTCTGTCTGTCTGTCTCTCCCCCCTTACCGTGGCCCAGGAGGCAAAAAAGAAAGAAAGTGAAAATAGATTGCCCTCAAAGTATGGATTCTTCTTATTGTGACAGGCTTCTTTCCTGTCACAAAAAGAAGACATTCTTATATCCTCTAGATCAAGGAAGGAGGTATAATGGATTTCCTATCCCAGTATCATCAGAAGTTGCTGGTCCAGTCTGTCTTTGTCTATTAACCAACTCCTGAGCCCTAGAGTCATGACAGAGATGAAAAGAAATGATCTTCATCAGCTGGGCTATACCCCATACAAAAATCATTTCTATTTCTGCCTACACTGACCTGACATCTAGACCTGGGAGGGATCTCAGAGGTCAGTTAGACCTCCTGCCTGATTCTACAGATAACAAAATGAAGTAGCAGGGAGATTACTGATTTACCCAAGAACACACAGGCATTAAGCATAAGAGGAAGGATTAGATCCTCCTACTCCAAAGTCTAAGTGTATTCCCCAGCCCTTCACTGGGCTATGCCCATCACACAAGTGCTCTTTATGATGCTTTCCCTTTTGGGTTCTGGGATTTGGCTGCATATGTATATCTTTGTAATACTTAATAAGATTTACTCATCCAGAGCTGTATTCCAGTCGTGGTCTCATGCCTCCACATTTCACTGATACCTTTGAGATCAAATTTATCTCATAATTTTGGGGACTTAATTCATCAAGCTTATTGCCTCTACTTAATACATTTGTGCATAGTCATTTGAGGTCATGGCTTTCCTATGATGTCCTTTCCTGGGTTTTGTCTCAAGCAAACTTCTGGGTTTCTCAAATAGTCTATTTTCTTCATTATAACTATGCTCTATGGTTTCTGGATTGATGGGTAAACTAAGTAGAAACCTCCTTCCATTTTTCTCTTCAATTTAAAACATTTTTGAGTAGATTTTCAAGGCTCCAAGCACATAAACTCTTACCAGCCCTTGAAGACATATTCTGCCCATAGCTAGTAAACTGTCATTTCTCTGTTACAAGCTATGGTCTGGGAATTCATATAACTCATTCTCAGAAAGCATCATCTAAACTACTTGTTAATTTCCCCTCTGAGAACTTACATGTAGTATTTCATCCATGTAGATAATTTCTATATTCATTTATCTGAACTAAGGTTTTGTCTTGAATATAATACTTTTGTGCCATCTTCCTTATTCATAATGGGGTGGAGGAGGGAGTGGACTGTTAGGAATAGAAATGTTGACCTGAACATGCACAATTGAGAAATCACCATAAAGGATAGTCACTAGAGATTGATAGAACTTTTAAATGGTAGACTAATCCAATTTTGACTCTTGGGTCTTTCTGGTATTTGCTCTCCTGAAGAGTTTGCTCTTTAAATGACATATCTCAGAGTGAATCTACAATATCAGTAGAAAATTCAAGCATCTGGCCATATAAGTGACTTAATGAGTGAACCCAAAGATGACCCATGGTACTATGACATGGCTTATTCATTCATAGACTTCTGTTGGCCACACATAAAGATACTCAGAAAAGGAATCTGGGCGGGGGTGGGGGTGGAGGAGGAGAATAAAGGACATTTCCAGGTGGGCATGTATTGGCATTTTACTAAAATATTAAACAACTTTCTGGTCCATTGAGCCAAAAAATGGATTCACTTGGTGGCTGATTAGGAGTTGAATGTCTTCTCTATGAGAGCAGTAAAACAGAAATCAGAGGACCTGGATTTAAATCCCACCTTCAGTACTTACTAACTGATCTTTGGAAAATGATTTCACCTCCTTCAGATCCTATGTCCTCATCTCTAAAATGAGGGGATTAAGCTGAGATCCCTTCTAGCTCTAAATTTTTGATGATATGGGATAAGCTAGAATATGTGTAGGTGACTTCATCATCTCTTAGTGACTTTGCTGTCAGAGTCATGATATTCTCCCCTACAAAGGTAACTCAGTCTCCCCTTCCTTGAAATTGAGAAGAGACATAATGCAGAAGAGGATGATCAATTTTACCTGAAATAACTGTGCTCAGTTACTTCAAAACTCTTTGTTATATTTGCCATATTTTTTTAAGATAGTAAATTCATTGTTACCTATATGATGACTGGGTCCTTTGGGGATATCCTTAGTGAAGTGGAAGGGGTGGGAAACTGGAATCAAATGGGCTGGGGCATTGCCAAGAAAGTTCTTAACTATTGTTGGGATGTACATGTACCTGGGGCAGCCAGGTGGCACAGTGGATAGAGTGCCGGGCCTGGAATCAGGAAGACTCATCTTCCTGAGTTCATATCTGGCCTCAGACACTTACTAGCTGTATGACCATGATGAAGTCACTTAACCCTATTTGTTTCAGTTTTCTCATCTGTAAAAATGAGCTGGAGAAGGAAATAGCAAACCACTCCAGTTTCTTTGCCAAGAAAACCCAAAATGGAGTCATGAAGAGTCAGACATGACTGAAAAACAACTGAACAAGTGAACACATGAGCCTAAACTTTAAATGCAGGGACAAAGAGAGCAGTTGAAGATGTTTAAGGATGAGACAGCAAGGATGGCTTCTGCTATCTGACTAGGTAAAGCATGAGTTAGTTGAAAGAAAAACATTCATGCATTTATCTTTGAGTTGATTTGCATTGCAAGCTTAGACTGCTACCTGGTGGCTTGGAGAAATATTACAGCCTGGCAGCTGCTCCAAAATACAACCAGTCAAAGCATTAGTAGGTGAAAGAAATGCTTCATAGGACCATACAATCATATACCTAGAACCTGAAGGGACTTCAGGGTTTATCAAGTCCAATCCCCTCATTTTACAGATGAGGAAACTGAAGTCCAGGGAAATGACTTGCTTGAGTTGATGCAGGGAGTGTCAGAGTTAGGGAGTCTCTGAATCCATTAAGTACTTTTTTCTATATTTGTTGTATTTTAATGTTTCTTTTGCTTTTTATTTGAAGACTATATATGCGAGTTTGAGGCATTGCAATTTGGGAGAATTTTACAGAGCTATGATATTTTAATAGTTGAGCAAGAATTTTGATGGTATTGGTGAGACCTAGAATGTAATGCATCCTCCAGCACTGGAGATTATAATCTCTTTGAGAATCTAGTGTAATTGCGTTAGGGCCCACCGTTCTGGGCTGGTCACGAATATGTCCGTGGTGTGATACCCGCCCTCCTAACGAAATGAGAGTTACACATACGTAGGGGTTGAGCAGATGGTAGTCGAGGTGGCAGAGTACTATACTCCTGCCACGTCTCCATCCACACGCCCACTCTGTGTCCCTTGAGGCACCTAGACCTATGGGTTCTAGCCAAGTCTCCGTCATTGGCCGCCCATGCATTGTGATTGCTCTTCATGAGTATGGAGGCGGGGTTGCACTATGGAGTATACATGGCTTGGTCTGGTGATGGGAGGGGCTCTTCCTACTCTTTCCTTGGCTCGACGCTTTACCCTCCCCGTTCCTCCCACTTGCTCTCTCTGCTCTTAAACCTTTCAACATGTTAAAATAAAAGTGATTGAACACTTCCCAGTCGACTCGTCCTTTCATGTATCCGGGTAGGCTCCGAAGACTTGTGGTGAGTATGACCCTGGGTGCCTGATCTCAGTAGGAGATAAAGCATGGCGACCCCGGCCATGGCATAATTGTTAGTTAATTAATTAATTTTAAATAACTGATTTTAACTAATACATACCATGATGGAGTTGCAGGTTTTTCCCATTTCCTTTAATGTTTTTTATTCGTCTTTTCTTAGGAAAATATTTAAATGATGGACCATACCTTCTATCTTATCTAAGTTTAGGGTCCGTTCCACTCTATCATGCTAACAATTAGAGCAAAGTCATGAAATCAGGAGCTAAAGGGGTAACTAGTAACTGAAGCTCATGAAGATCTTTTGGGCTACTAACACTTTAAAGCCACATATAATTTCTCAGTCCCCAGTTTGTGTCATCCATGAATATAATGAGCATACAAGCCATTAATAAAAATTATAACGCAAAAAAGTCAAAGAAAGAACTTTGTGCTACTCTGTTTGGCACTTCATTTAAGGCTAACATCGATTCAGCAGTCACTCATCACTGGGTCCAGTCTTTAAATTAGTCTAAATCTATCTATTGTCTTGTCTACATGTCTCCACTCTGAATAGAAGCAAAGTATAAGCCAATATCAGATTGAATATAGGTTTCAAAGTTGCGTCTAGCCTAGAAGATGGATTCACATGAGAGGGTAAGGGTAGGGGATCAATATGTGGAGATACTGGTGGCTTTGATCCAACCCTCCTCAGTTGGTAATACCCAGAGAAGTCAAAGAAAATTGGGAACTTTGAATTGAACCACTGAGATAATTATATTATTCTCACTATTATTTGTGTTAGCAGGGTGAAATCTATATTTAATTTTATTTAATTGTTTTTTCTCAATTACCTGTAAACAAAAATTTTTAACATTCATTTTTAAAAATTTTAAGTTCCTAATTCTTTCCTTCCTTTCTGTTCCCCTCCTTGAGAAGGCAAGTAATTTCATATAGATTACAAATGTATAGTCATGCAAAACACAACCAGGATGAAATCCAAGAGATTTTTTCCTGTTTTGTATTTTGTCGAGTTTGGCGTCAATTAAAATAGCCTAATAAGTTTTTTGTAATTAAGACTTTAGAGTATTTTCCCTAAAGTATCCAAAAGTTCATAATTTCCACATCGTTCCTAAACACAACTTTTAAATTACTTCAGGGATTATAGAGATTCCCTAAGGATAGTGGGGGCAGAAGTCAAATTGGCAGTTGATCCAAGCTATGATCCTTTGGAATTTTCCAGGGACATATCTAGGATAGGATGGAAATGTTACAATGCTTTCCACACAAATTAATGCTAAGGCCTTAGAATACAAGTGTCAGTATTCTGTTAAGGTTGACAACGTTGCACCGTATTTGAATTACAGGAAATATAATTTTTGTTTCATTACATGTCTTAGGAACAGCTTGGAGAGAAAGCTGAAGATGTAAAATAACTTTTGCAAGAAAAAAGAAACAGTTACAGCCACATACAAGCCAGGTAAATAGTCAGGTAAGGGAACACTGATCTATGTTTAGTGCTGTCTCAAGCCATCAAGAAATTTTTGGAAATTTGTGTGAATAACTTTTTTTTTTCAGAAAGGCAGAAGAACCAACTAACTTGGAATTAACTGGGTTCTGGATCTCACACTGAGAGATAAATGAAAGAAGTGAGAACTATCCTGGGAGGGCTGATTTTTGGAGATGGAAGTGGAAGCTGGGAATAATCTTGGCATAGAAATATTAAAAGGTAAAGAAATGCTGTACAGATGGTACCAGGCATGAGCATCCATACCATGAAAGCTCTAGCAATTACAAGTAAAGAACCAACAAAACAAAGTGAGAGAGTTTGAGGAAGTATTTTGCTGGAGCAGAAAAAAAAAACTGTTGCTTTCTGATTACTGTAATCTCTTTACTCTCCTTTTCACCCCAAAGTGAAAGCAATGTTTTTAAAGAAATTATTCTAATATCAGATTGCCTTTTATTAGCTTCCATTAGGTTATCAAGTTACTGACTACTGAGCCCTGCATTTATTTTTTGGCTCAAGTTTCTCGTCTATAAAATCATGGATTTGGACCACATCACTTGAAACTCTGATATTCTATATTTTTAATTCCCTCCTAGCTCAGCTATCCTACTTTTTTAAGTTACAAGGTCCCTTCCAATGTGCAATTCTATGTTCTGGGTTCTGGGTTCTTTTCCAGCCATTCATCATTTAAAAATTTCTTTAATTTGATTTTCTTATAATTTTCAAAACAAATTGCTCTATTACTATCTTTTGTTTTCACATCACTGTAACTTCCAGAACCATCTCCTCCCACTGCCAACCCTTTGCTTCAAAATCAAACAATTGAAGACTTGTAACAAAGGAAAACTGTTAAGGAAAAAAGACTGATACACTGAATATATCTAACAAAGTCAGCAACATTCTGTACACATAATCCCCCACTTCTTTGCCAAGACCATTACATGGCTTTCAGTTAATCAGTAAAAAGCTTTTTTTAGTGACATTTAAAAGTACTTTATTGATTATCTCATTTTTATATATCACTCTCACTTCCCACTGACTCCTCTCTTTTTCCAGTGTCTCTTATAACAAAAAGGTACAATGAAACAAATCAATTCAATCCATTAGCCATGCCTAAATACTTATGCCTCAATTAGGGTCCATTACTTCTTTGCCAAGAGTTATTGAGGTGCGCTTCACCAAATGTCACTGCACTGATCAGAATTCTGAAGTCTTTCCTTTAAATTATTGTGGTCATTGGAAAAAAAATATTGACCTCATTTTTATTTCCCTCTACATCTGTTCATATAAGTCTTCTCAAGCTTCTGTGAAATCTTCATATTCAACATTTCCTATAATTTTCCATCACATTCAGATGACATAATTTGTGGAGTCAATCCCTAATCAATGATCCCCAATCAATGGACACCCACTTTCCATCAGGTTTTTCTACAAAAAAATGCTAATATAAATATATTTGTGTGTATGTGTATATACATACATACATACATACATATGTGTATGTGTTTTAAAAAAAACCTCCTTAAGATACATGCTTAGGAATGGGATCTCAGAGTCAAATAATATATACAATTTAGTGACTTTTATAATTCCAAATTGTTTTCTTTCATAGTTGGTCAAATTCACAGCTTTACCAACAGTGCATAGTGTGCCTGTCTTCATAAAAGCTCCACAAATATTTGCTGAAAATGTATTTCTCATGTACTTGCTTCTCATAAGTCTAGCTGCATTGATTTTGTTTACACAAAAGCTTTTACATTTGATGTAGTCAAAGTTATCCATTTTGTCTTCTGGGATCCGCTCTACACCATTTCTTTGGTTCAGCTTGCAAGACTCTTTTTTGTGTTCTTTTCTCACGTTCTTAATGACATATTGGAGTATTTGTGCTTGTCAATGGAAATCAAAATAAAATTGATGTTGAGAAATAAAATTACAAAAGACAAAACATTATAAATAGAAATCATTATTAATTTGATTTCAATGTCTTCAAACTGTGTCCTCCTCTAAATCCTGCAGGTGACCAGATGCAATAACATGGACAAGCAGAATTATACACCTGTGACTGAGTTTTTCCTGGTTGGACTTTCTCATTACCCAGGCCTCCAGGTATCCCTTTATGTTCTCTGCCTGATGATTTACCTGGTTATCTTATTGGGAAACAGCATCCTCATTATCATCAGCATACTAGATCCCTGCCTTCACACTCCTATGTATTTTTTCCTTGGGAACCTTTCTTTCCTAGATATCTGTTATACATCCTCCTCTATTCCTCAAATGCTGGTAAATTTTGTGTCTGAGAGAAAATCCATTTCCTTCACTGGATGTACACTACAAATGGTTATTTCTCTTGGCCTGGGTTGTACAGAGTGTGTGCTTCTGGCCGTGATGGCTTTTGACCGGTATGTTGCCATCTGCAATCCTCTAAGATACACCATCATAATGAACAAGGGACTCTGTATCCAGATGGCAACTTGGACCTGGGTGTTAGGCTTTCTGTATTCCCTGCTACTCACTCTGTTGGCTATGATGAGACCTTTCTGCGACAACATCATTGACCATCTCACCTGTGAGATTTTGGCTCTTCTCAAACTGATCTGTGGAGACATTTCCCTCAATGTGTTTATCATGACAGTTGGAAATTTTGGTTTCTTAGTCACCCCTTTACTGCTCATTTTCTTCTCCTATGTGTTCATCCTCTCCACTATCCTGAGGATCAACTCTAGTGAAGGGAGAAAGAAAGCCTTTTCCACCTGCTCAGCCCACTTGACTGTGGTGATCTTATTCTATGGCTCAGCCCTTTTCATGTATATGAAGCCCCAATCAAAGGATACTAAGACTTCTGATGAGCTCATAGGACTGTCCTATGGGATAGTGACTCCAATGCTGAACCCTATCATCTATAGCCTGAGGAACAAGGAGGTGAAGCAGGGTGTAGAGAAAGTCCTGACCAGAAAGTTGTATTTGAGGAAAATATGAAAGGCTGTGAGGCTCTAGATCACTCTAATCTATCTACACATTTCATCCATTCTCCTTCCATGTCCCTTGCCCACTACACTCTCCAGAACTCTCATTTTATTAACAATTTGCTTTCAATATTAGACTTTTTCTTTTAATTCTCCTTCCATCTTGTGATCACAGAAATCTGACTCATTTCAGAAGATACTGAATCTCTCATCACCACTCCCAATGCTAGACAAACCTCTATTTGTGTCCTGCTGAGCACTGGGCCAACAGGAGGTATAAATACCTTTCTTGCTCTTCACTGCCACTTACAGACCCTCTCCCACCACTCTCACTCAGCAGTCTCTCCTGCTTTGTGACCCATTCCATCCAGATACACCACTTTTTTCAGATCACGTAACTGTAATCTATTGCCACCAACCTCCCCACTTCTCATGATCTTCCATCTTCTCCACACCTAACACACAAAGGGATTGATACTCTTGATTTCATCATCACCCATAAGTGTCATAGTTCCACACTTTCTAAAGCTGAAATTGTTTTATGTGCCATAACTTCTTAATTCTTTCCTTCCATCTGTCCCTGTGCTTTAACCCCTTCTAAATCTATCCTCCATCCTCACTGCAATCTCAAGTACTCCAGTGCTCCCATTCCATCCAGCAGCACCCCTCCTCTAGCCTAATTATCCTCCCTTTCAAAATTGTGAATATGTATTTATATTCTTATAATATATATATATATATATATATATATATATCCCTATAGTGAATATATATTTATATCCCAATCTGTATTCAACTTCATGATGTCCTCTACTCTTGAATCCCTTTTCCTTTCATCTTATCACCCCAACTCTAGATCACTCTAATCATCCACTATCTCTGTTCTTATCCAGGTGCTGCTGAAAGCCACTGGAGGGAGTCAGACAACCATGCTTACTGGGTTCACTATAAATTTATGTTATCTAATCTCAGCTGGGGCATGCCAATTATTTTTATTTTCCAGAATTGACTCTCTAAAACACTTCTGACAGTATCTATTCCAAACTTTTTTTTCTCTCCTCAAGCTATCTACCCCAACCCCTTTCTCTTCCTTCTCAGTAGAGAACCTTGCCTCATACTTCACAGAGAAAAAGTGAGACCATCTCTAATGCTCTTATTCTCTTCACTTTTATACCTTAGATCCCCTGAACATACTCTCATAATCTCTTTTCTTTTACTTCTCTCTCCCCACAACTACCTCATTTATTTTATATATATTATATACCTATTTATATAACACGTATTTTCTCCAATATTAGAATGTCAGATCCTTGAGGGAAGGGATTACTTTATTTGTCTTTGTATCCCTAGCATTAAGCAGAGTTCCAGGCACAAAATCAGTGTTCAGCAAATATTTGTTGATGGATGGATGGATGGATGAAAGGATGAATGGATGGATGCAAATCTCCTTGCTAATGCCAACTTCCATGTTCTCAAATCCTTCTCCTACTGTAGCTTACTCCCAATTCTCCCTTCTCTCTCCCTTTTTCAATTTCTTCTTCCCTGTGGCCCACAAATATACTTACTGTCTCTCATTCTTTAAAAAAAAAATTCTCACTTGATATCCTTTCTCCTCAAATTATTGTCATATCACTTTTCCCTTTTACAACCAAACTTCTAGGGAAAAAAAGTTGTTCATAGCTGTCTATATTCATTGTCCCAACTTCTCCTCTCAACTGTCTCTCAGCTATCCACAATTTGATTTCTTATCTCTTCACTCAATTAAAACCATTTTCTCCAAAGTTATTAATGATGATCATTCCTCAGTCTTCATCTCTCTTGGCCTTTCTATGCCATTTGACACTGTAGATCAGTGGTGTCAAACTCAAATAAAAATGGGGGCCACTAAACCATAAATAAGGATCCCTGCCATTATATATTGACCTAGAAAACTGCGTGTTAACATTATCTATGTTTTACTGTATTTTTATTTATTTTGTTAAATATTTCTCAGTTACATTTTAATCTGGGTTCAGCAGAACTTGGAAGTATTGCAGGCCACATACAGCTCGCAAGCCGCATGTTTGATATATCTGCTGTAAACTACCCTTTCCTGAATCTCACTCCTCCTTGTTTTCATGACACTACTCTGATTCTCCTGCTTGTCTGACCACTGCTTCTCAATCTCTTCTGCAGTATCATCATCCATCTCATGCCTTTTTACATGAGGGTACACATCAGTACTCTGACCTAGATACTTTTCTCTTCTCTCTCTGAATTCTCTCTCGGTGATTTTATTAATTGCCAGAAGTTCAGCTACCATCTTTAAATCTATATTTATCATGCCTCCCAAATCTGTGTATCTAGCCCTCATCTCCTGACCTTCAGACCCACATCTTTAAATTCCTTCTGGGACATATTATTTACATCTTAAACTCTGTTCAAATAAAACTCATGTTTCCGAAATCCTCCTCCAAAATTCCCTGTTTTGATAAAGGTCACCACCATCCTTGTAGTCACCCAAGTTCACAACCTGGGAATTATCTTGATCCTTCACTCTTACTCACCAATATGCCCCATAGAATTAGTTGCCAAATCTTATTGACTCTCTATTCACAAGTATATCTTTCGTTTTCATCTCTTCTCCACTCACACTTATTGTTGTTCAGTCATTTTCAGACATGTATGGCGCCACATAACCCCATTTGGGGTTTTCTTGGCAAAGAGACTAGAGTGGTTTGCCATTTCCTTCTCCAAATCATTTTACAGATGAGAAAACTGAGGTAAACATGATAAAGTGGCCCTCTATTCACCTACAACCACTGGAATTCAGGCCTTCTTCTTCTTTTGGCCGGATCATAGAAATAGCCTCCTAATCAGTATCACCACATCCAGTACCCACCCCCACATACAAAAAAAAAATGTTCATTTTGTGGGCACATATGTGTATGTATATGTGCTTATAATTTATTTATTTACTTAAATGTAGTTTCCTTCCAGTAGAATGTAAGCTCCTTGAGGACCAGGGATATTTTTTTTCCAAGAGCAATGCTTGGAACACAAGTAGGTGTTTGATAAATACTTCCATAATTGAACTAAATAGGAAATTATTCCTATTTTCAAGTGTGTGATAATCTATTACATATATGTTAGCACCTGGCCTATCGTTCATATCTTCTCTCTTCAGTTCTGCCTCTTGGTCTTATGGTAATTTTGATACTTTCTATTAAGTCACACAAAGACATAAAACATATACATTAATTGGCCACGGGTTGCTAGAGAAAAATGAGCTTTGCAACTGCCTATTGTGAAATTTGAGGGAAATTGATATTAAAGTAGATAAGCTTTTGAGATAAAAATGTAGATTTTACTCATATATTATTTCATTCATTCAACAAATACTTATTATGTATCTACAATGTAGATTTAATAGAGCTGGAATGGACCAAAATATTTATAGTAGCACTTTTTTGTAGCAGCAAAGAGCTAGAAACAAAATATATACCAATATAATATTATTGCTCTTTTTATAGCAATAGCAAAATCATTTCTCTGATAAAGACCTCATTTCTCAAATATATAGAGAACTAAGTCAAATTTATAAGAATACAAGTCATTCTCTAATTGATAAATGGCAGTTAAACAGCAGTTTTCAGAGAAAGAAATCAAAGCTATCAATAGTATATGAGAAATGCTCTAAATCACTATTGCTTAGAGAAATACAAATTTAAAAAAATCTCTAAGGTACCACTCCACACCTATCAGATTAGCTAATATAAAAGAAAAGAAAAATTATAGATGTTGTAGGGGAAATGGGAAAATTGGGACATTGCTGCACCTTTGATGGAGTTCTGAACTGATCCAAGCATTCTGGTGAACAGTTTGGAACTATGCCCAAAGGGCTAGAAAACTGTACACATGATTTGGTTCAGCAATGCCACAACTAGGTATGTGCTCCAAGGAAGCTTTTTTTTTAAAAAAAAAAGGAAAAGGGTCTATATGTACAAAAATATTTATAGCAGCTCTTTTTGTGGTGGCAAAGAATTGGAAATTGAGGGCATGCCCATCAATTGGGAAATGGTTGAGTAAGGTTGTGGTATATGGATGTAATGGAATACTACTGTGCTATAAGAAATGACGAGTAGAATGCTTTCAGAAAAACCTAAGGACGTGCATGAACCGATGCAAAGTTAAGTGAGAAGAACAGGAGAACATTATACAAAGCAACAGCAATATTGTAAGATGATCAGCTGAGAATGACTTAGCTCTTCTCAGCAATATAATGATCCAATACAATTCTGAATGACTCATGATGAAAAATGCCATCCACCTCCAGAGAAAGAACTGATGGAATCTAATTGCGGATCTAAGCATACTTTTTAAACTTTATTTTTCTCTTTTTTGTCTATATTTTCTTTCATAATAGGAATAATATGGTAATAAGTTTTACATGACTACACATATATAACCTATATCAAATTCCTTGCCTTCTCAAATAGCAGGAAGGGGAGGAAGGGAAAGTTTTTGAAACACAATTTTTAGATGAATGTTAAACATATCTACATGTAATTAAATATATTTTTAAAAATCAAAAAAGAGAAAAAAGAAATTGAACAAACTTTTGTTTCTGTAAAGAAAAATGACAGCAGTCTGGTAGGTAGGGTAGGAAGTCTTGTACGTAATTCCAGGAAATCTCTCAAAAGAATGGAAATTCCCTTCAAGATAGGAATATGAGTTTTACTTTGGATCTCAACTTAGTGGATATAATGCTTATTTGTAAAGGAGGGTCAATAAATTGAAGGGATAATTTTGAAAATTAAATTTAAGATATGTTTGGGCTATAAGGGATCAAGAGAACATAATGAATTAAATGTCAGACATGTTGAGTTTAAGATGTCTCTGGAATATCCATTTTGAAATGTCCAATAGGCATGAAATCTGAGGGAGAGACAAGTGCTGTAACTATAACAATATATAACTATATCTAGATGTAGGCTTCAATTCTATTAACATTTTCTGTTCTGCTTTTCTAGT